CTCATTTTCTTTCTTAAATCTCTTCATTACTTTTCTTATTCGGTATTATTTGATGATCATCTTATTATATTTTGAGGTCTAGCAGCGCGCCAAGTTTTTTTACATAAAAAATTTTGTTATAAAATTTTTGTATAAAATATGTCACAACAATGATCGATAAATTCGGTACATTTATTTTCCACAGACAAACACAGATTGGAGGAAAGATTTTGTCACCTGTTCGATTCGATGGGTCGCTCTAATCATAAAATTCATAAGAAGACAAAATAAAGAAAAATTGACTCTCCGTCACATTACCGGCATCCATCACTAAGTTACGATCGCTGTCCATAACAGTGTTGAATCGATGAGCAATCATTAGCACTGTACACTTCTCGAATTTTTTTCCTGATAGTTGTCTGGATGAGTTCGTCTGTTCGCGGGTCCATTCGCGGTCGCCTCGTCCAGCACGAGTATTGGATTGTTCCTCACAACAGCTCGCGCCATGCCGACTAATTGCCGATGGCCGACGCTGAGATTGGAACCGCCCTCATTGATGTGGACTTCCAAGCCCATCTCCTTCAACTCGACCTCCTCAAGAGCTCGCCATAGTGGTTCGTCCGTAAACGAGTCGAACAGATCGAGATTCTGTCTCAGATTGCCGGAGAACAGAAACGGTTTTCGCGAGATAATGTTGATTTTAGAACGCAAATCGTGCAAGCCAATCTGGTGAGTATTGACTTTGTGTTTCTTAATCAGACCATCCACATCGACCAGGTGGAAGAGCGCTTAAATCAGAGATGACTTGCCGGCGCCGGTTCTGCCAAGAATGCCGATTTTTTTTCGTAGAAAAATAACGAAACTGAGATTTTTAAGCACTGGAGGTTCCAATGGCGCATAACGCAGGAACGTGTTCTTGAATTCAATCTGGCCTCCTTGCGGCCATTCAGATTTAGGTTTCTTATCAGGGATACTCTTGAGAGGGGGTTCGGTGTCTATTTTGCTGAAAGGTATCGAAATAGGGAATGCGGTTTGAATTTAAAGAGACTGGAATGAAAGACTCCATATTTCTAGTTATTTATGAAACTTATATATAAATTAGAGTGCCTTTATAGATAAAAAAAAAGTACGGAAACATCAATATTAAAAAAATCAAAAATTAAAGAATGTAAAATACATAAATCAAAGATCCAAGATTTACAAATTCATCGCTCTAAGAACTAAGGTTTCATGTGTGCACAGAATTTGAAGGTGTCAAAACATTAAGAATATATAATATACTACAATATCAAGATATTCAAAGAAGAGGCGAGTACCTGTACTCAAGGATACGCTCCACTGAGGTCATATGATTCTCCATCTCGGCGCTTTGGCGCATGCCCCACTGAAACCACCGAATGAGATTGATACTCTCAGTGATCGCCCACGTATACGCCGTTCATCAAACCGCGACTGTAGTTGTTCTGCATGAGGAAGCTTAGTGTAAGACCATAATAATATACAGCACGCAGAAAGTATTCAGCTATAGAGGCGCGCGAAGATATAATAAAGATGCACCATGCGGAAGATTGGATATCCTGGTAATCATCAAACTCCTTTCTGAGGATCGCAACCGCTCCAAAAGTGCGGATAGTCGGTAGTCCTTGAAGAATCGTACTTAGATGAGTGAAAATCGACGAGTAAGATGAGGAAGGAGTAGAAATTCCGGTCAGTTTATTCAAAGAA